AGTTCCCCCCCACTTCCCGGGAAGACAGGCTTTCCAACCTTTTATTTCGGGCCAGGTACCTAGTAACTTGCTCCTTATGTTATGTACAATCCCAACTGATATTGATATTCAGTCATGCTTCCTCTCTTTTAATAATGAAAAGTCCTCGGGGGCAGATGGATTCAACACCCATTTCTAACAGATGACATGGCCAGTGATTGGGAATGATATGATTAAAGCCATTCGAACCTTCTTTGTTAATGGCAGGCTTCTTAAGGAAGTAAATAACTCATATATTGCCTTAGTCCCAAAAACTCCTAACCCCACAACATTAAATGACTTCGGACCAATCTCTTGTTACAACACACTTTATAAATGTATTGCCAAACTGCTAGCAAACAATCTTAAACAAGTGTTACTTTCCATCATCGACTCCTCTCAGAATGCTTTTGTCAAAGCCCGAAATATTGGGGACAGTGTGCTATTGGCTCAAGAGCTTCTACATGGTTATCACAGGCACCTATCTCCTCCCAGATGTGTTTTAAAAGTGGACCTCCTGAAAGCGTTTGATTCTGTTGGCTGGAACTTCATTTTGGAAACCCTATCCCTCTTGGGTTTTCCCTAACCATCTATCCACTGGATTCAGGAATGCATTATTTCCCCCTCTTTTACTATTTCTTTAAATGGGGAGCTCCATGGACATTTTAGGGGGGTTAAAGGCCTAAGGCAGGGGGACCCCATCTCCCTTCTCCTATTTGTGGTGGCTATGCAGGGGTTCTCATCCATTACCAAGAAATTTATTGCTGAAAATCAAGCCTTCAAATTCCACTCAAGGTGCAAAAAGCTGACTATCTCTCACCTCATCTTTACTGACGACCTCATTATATTCTCACATGGGGACATTGCCTCCATCTCTACACTCAAGCGTGCTATCGACCACTTCTCTTTCCTTTCGAGACTAAAGATTAACTGCTCCAAAAGCCAGTTTTTTGTTTCTGGAATTGGTTCCCCTCTTGTTGAAGAGATTAGAGATTTGTTGGGGTTTAACTGGGGTTCGTTACCTTTCAAATACCTAGGGGTACCCTTAATTTCTACTCAACTTAGGGCTACAGATTGTCGAGGATTGGTGGAGAAGATGACTAGAAGAATTTGTCACTGGTCTTCTAACTTCTTATCTTATGCTGGCAGAATACAACTTATTCTGTCAGTGCTTTATAGCATGGTCAACTACTGGTCTAGCCTATTTGTACTCCCCAAATCAGTCATAACTAAGGTCAACAAGGTGCTAAAGAATTTCTTATGGACTGGAACAGAATTTAAGCACTCTGGAGCAAAAGTCGCATGGGATAAAGTCTGCCAACCTAAGGAATGTGGGGGTCTTAGATTTAGAAATTTGGAAGTTGCAAACTATGTAGCATCTCTAAAACACGTTTTGATTCTCATCTTTAATAAAAGAGATAACCTCTGGGCATAGTGGGTAAGAATTCAACTGATTAGAGATAGATGCTTTTGGGCTATTAGCATCTCGAAGAATTGCTCAAGCAATTGGAAGAGAGTTCTACAGCTTAGGGGGACTGCGAGGAACCTAATTAGATTTAGGGTTGGCAACGGAGATCTTACCTACTTTTGGGAAGATAATTGGCTACCGGGTGGACTTCTCACCTTCAGAATCCCTGATCAAGTCAGACAACTCGCTAATTTTACCTTGGCAGAGACTCTCCTCTCTTGCTTCAGATGGAGCATGGTCCTTTCCAGCCGTATTAATTGAGCATATCCCTGAGCTTAGTAGCATTTGTCCGTCGACCACTTCATCGGATTCAGTTGGGTGGATCATTTCCCCCTCGGGCACATTTTCTCTGAGTCACATTGTTGGCTGGTTTGAGATGAACCACCCGCCAAAGCACTAGCATACTTTTCTTTGGAACCCATTTTCAGTGCCAAGATGTAATTTTTCGTTGTGGCTTGCTGTGCAAAACCGACTCCCCACACTTGATAGAAGTAGCATGCGAGATGTGCCTGGCCTAAAACTCTGTCTGTTCTACAATTTGATGAATGAATCGCATGATCACCTGTTTTTTGCGTGCACCTTCACAAGGCCCTTATGGATCTTCCTACAATACAAGTGTAATTTCCTCTCTCCGACTTCAACATGGATCGGCTTCGTAGAGTGGGCTTCAGAGCATTGGGCGAGCAGAAGTCTGAGAAACTCAGTGAACAAGCTTATGCTCTCAACTACCATCAATAAAATTTGGATGGAGAGAATTAACAGAGTGTTTAAAAACCAAAGCTGCAAACAATCAGTGCTCCTCAATCAAATTGCATATATGATAAAGTAGAAACGTCTTTTGAAGCAGGTACGGGACTCACCATCGGCAAGACGAATTGTGCTTGAATGGAATCTTCCAGCCTCCTTTATTCGCCCGCCGGCGGAACCACCTGATGGATCGAGTTAAGGCGCTACTCTCCTTGATTGGCCCTAATTTCTTTTGCACCGGAATGACATCAGCTTGACATGAGTAGTTTACAAACCCTAGACTAGGAAAGTGTTTGCTTGGAGATGGGCTGGCCTTGCAGTGTTATTCTTGTTTTGCTTATTGGTCTATATGCTTATTGGGCCGTCTACACTTCGTGGGTTGTGTCCTTGTTAAAGCTTAGCCTGCTCTACTATATTACCTCATTTATATATAAATTCATCTTTACCTTCCGGAAAAAAAAAATAAATAAATAAAAATAAAAATGTAAAATTGAGTAGAATTTTACACTGCGTCTACTTGGCACGAGCTAAGTTAGTTTCTAGAAACTATAGAGTATTAGAGCAATTGTAATGGAGTCTCTAAAAATTGGGCCTCGAAAAAAAAATGCAAAAAAGAAGCAAAAAAACTAATTTCTAAAATTTTGTTTAGTCAAACAGGCCCTTCAAATACTGTTACAACTTCTGACCCTATTTTAAAAAGTCAACATTGCCAACAGGGCCCAAATACGGATCGCAACAGGGGTCGCCCAAAAAGGGCTACCCATTCCCCAATTCAATTTTTCTGGGCCCAAAAGCAGCGAGCCCATTAGAGTAAAAAAAATTGCCAAATAGGTCATTGGGCTTGTGAAAACCATTGCGTTGAAGCTACTCTAAGAGAACTTGTAGATATTTGTAATTGGAAAGAAAATTTAACAAAAGTGGAGAGTTTTATAGAATATAGAATGTAAATATGTAATAGCATGAGTGTGTAGACCTACCAATGGAGCGGATCCTGATCCGGATCCGATCCGAATCCGATCCGATTAATCGGATATGGATTGAACAAAAAATCCGATAACCCGGTTACGATCCGAATCCGATAATCCGTTAGCTTAACAAATCGGATATGGATTATGCTGATCCGATCCGATAAAAATCCGATCCAATCCTATTAAAATTATATATATATAAATAATTATATATATATATATATAATTATTTATCAATAATTTTTCACATATATATATATATCAATACTCCTATTAGAATTGTATTAAAGGTAACCCAAAAATCCAAAATAATAATAATGTTATATAAAATATTGTGATGTCCTCATCCACATGCTAATAAATCTTTTAGTACACATACTAATAAAATCATACTCTTTATAATTATATATGTTAGTAAATATTAATTTCATCCGATTTCGAATCTGACCCGATCCGAGTCCGAGCTAATAGGATATGAATTGAGACATTCAGTCCGAGAATCCGTTAGTGATCTGAATTCGATAGTCCGTTTGCTTAACAAATAGGATATGGATTTGATCGATCAGATCCGAATCCGATCCATTGACAGGTCTATGAGTGTGTCATTTGTACTTGGTTAACAAGCACTAGGTCTCAGATAGCCTTATATGGAACAATTCTTTTAAGTATTAATAGAGGTATTCTGTCTTGTCAAATAAGCAAATTAAATTGCTAAGTATGTAAGAGTATGTAAGCTAAGCAAGGTATATGACAAAAATTGCATAAAGAAAGTAACAGTCTCAACTACAAAAAAACCACATCCCTAATTTTGCTAATCTACTCAAATTCTTCTTATTGCAACTGTAAAATTACTGATAATCTGTAGTGAGCGTGACACATGGTTTTATTTAGTGATTTCAAAAGGCAAATATTTGAATAATTACTGATTTTTTACAATTTTTTTTGTTCACTTGTATAAATACATAAGCATGATCCAAGAAATGCATATATAATTCTAATAAAGAATTGCTTCTAATGTTACAAATTAACTAAAGCAAGTTACATTAGATAGCTCAAAGTAGTTCCAATCTAAGGTGAATGTTAAGATCTTTATATGGATAAACTTAATTTTTTGTGTAGAATGATGATCAGTATTAATGAAAATGAGTAAGTTCTGGAAGTTAGGAATACGAAAACAAATAGTGATTTTATTATTATTTATAGGGTAAGTTGTTGTCTAGTTATCAATACAGCTAATAACATACATGCATTTTACTGTCTGAGACTCTTATGCGAACTGCTGTGACAATTTAAAGAGGTATTCTTATGCTTATTATATTATATTAATGGCATGTGTAGACCCTTTTGTTGATGAGAATCCTTCACTTTTTTTCTCATTATTTTTTTTATTTTATTTTGTGTGTTTTTGTTTAGGTCTCATGAAATTTATTTTACAAAGGCATGCACATGCAATGCACGTGGCTCTGATCAGATTGATGTGATAGACACTTCCTTGTTAGATTAGACAAAGTGAATCAGCTTCATTGAAATCAAGAATTCAAACTAAAACAGAGCAAATCACGGCAACGAATGAAGAGCCAATGGTCGCTGTGGGGGTCAACACCGCCTATTCCACGAGTTTGTAGAAAACCGGGTCTACTTTTTGAAAGCAAAAAAGAGACAACCAAACACATCTCACGGCAAATTTAGTGGCACATTAACTTGGGCTTTTGTGCCTTCTTTTCTTCCTCCAACTTTGTCTTAATATATAAAATATATAATTGTCATATCATATTCCATTTCATCTCCATTGGATTCTATTTATATCTCCATTTGGACTTTTTTTTTTCTTTACTCATTGCTCAACAATGGCTCTAGTTCTCTCTCTGTACTTCATCTTCTCTCTCTACAACAGCTTTGTTTCTGCAGCCAATCCTCCAATTCTTGATGGTAAGCACCAAATTGTTATATTGTCTTTGAATGAGCTATATATATATGTGTGTGTGTGTGTGTCATTTTTGTGATTTGGGTATATAAATATAATGTCCCTCTCTCCATTAGGATTTCTTCCAAATGGCAACTTTGAAGAAAAGCCAAAGGCATCAAATCTGAAGAAGACAGTGATCATAGGAAGGTACTCTTTGCCCAAGTGGGAAATCAATGGGGTGGTGGAGTATGTATCAGGTGGGCCACAGCCAGGTGGCTTCTTCCTAGCAGTCCCTCGTGGGGTCCACGCAGTGAGGCTAGGAAATGAAGCATCCATCTCTCAAAATGTTATGGTCAAGCTGGGCTCAATCTACTCGCTCACATTTGGGGCCACAAGGACTTGTGCCCAAGATGAGGTGCTAAGGGTCTCAGTCCCTGGTCACTCGAGTGATCTTCCCATTCAGACACTGTTCAGTAGTGATGGTGGTGACACTTATGGTTGGGCTTTCAAGGCAACTTCTAAAGTGGTTAAGGTCACATTTCATAACCCTGGGATTCAAGAAGACCCTACCTGTGGACCTCTCCTGGATGCAATTGCAATTAAAGAGATGCAACCTCTCAAGTATACTAGAGGTAACTTTCCATTATACATGCATACATATATTTTTTTTTTTTTTTTTGGGAATTTGTAAACAGGGGAATTGAAAAAAATAAAATAGCATAACCTTAGGTGACTTTGATTTTTGAGTTTCACAAATGATGAGTGGGAGGCAAATGAGTTGCTCGAGTACTCATAACTTTTTTTTTTCCCCAGTGGAAGAGGTACAACCGTCCAAGTTTGAATAATCGTACTTTTACGTCATTAAGAAAAATGATAAAAGCCCAAAATCGATACATGTGATTTTAAAATTTTATATAAAACATCTTGATTCTGAAGTCAAATTAATGCATGCCCTTGTTCGATTTTTAAGCATTTGTGAAGTCCAAGATAATCACGTGAAGATGAGGAACACTACATGTGGAACGGAGCATGCTGCTTTGACTATTACAATAATATAATTATTTTCTAGTACATCGGTACAAGATCGTACCGTGTACATGAGTACATGTTTATCTAATTGCAAAATGGTTTATATAGCCACCACTATTAATCCATTCAATTTTTCAAATTTCCACATTATGGTTATATGAATCATGAGCTGAGGTGGAAATATAATTTTGTAATTGTGGCATATCTTTATAAGTTACTTGGAAACATATGTGGTATTAAATTTTATAATCCTTATAATATTGAAAACTTTGTTTATGCAGGTAATTTGGTGAAAAATGGTGGGTTTGAAATAGGACCTCATGTGTTCAAGAACTTCTCAACTGGGGTCCTCCTCCTCCCCAAACAACAGGACTTAATTTCACCTCTCCCCGGATGGATTATCGAATCCCTCAAGCCTGTAAAATACATCGATTCCAAGCACTTCTTCGTCCCCAAAGGAATGGCTGCAATTGAACTGATTGGAGGGAGAGAAAGTGCCATTGCTCAAATCATAAGGACAGTGCCCAACAAATTCTACAACCTAACATTCGCCATTGGCGACGCAAAGAGCGCTTGCCATGGATCGATGCAGGTTGAAGCATTCGCTGCGAAACAAACCCTAAAAGTGCCCTTTACATCAGAAGGAAAGGGTTGGTTCAAGACTGCAAGTCTAAAGTTCCAAGCAGTTTCAGCCAGGACAAGGATAACATTTTTTAGTGCATTTTATCACACTAACATTAATGACTATGGTCACATATGTGGCCCTGTTTTGGATGATGTTAGGGTTTTGCCTGTCTCTTAAGGCACACATGTTTACAGTAGTTGTTTGTGAGTCATATTGTTCAATGTTCCTTAATCTTATTATAATACTTAAAATGTTTAGGAATAAATAAATGAAAAAGAATACTTGGCAGTCTTTTCATCATTGGGGTAGCTAACCTAATAGTTGAAATGAGGGTTTCTTCCTCTCTTTTTACTTTGTTCTGTCAAAAGATTCATTTTAATTAAATATGAGAAATGATTGGTCCTAATGATTTTCTTTGTATGGAGCAGTCCTCGTGTTTCTTTTTCTTATTGAAGTTCAAAATGGATCCCTCCATTCGAAGTTTTTCAAATATATTGCAATTAAAGTTGAATCACTGATCAAACGTTTTTTAAAGTTGCAATTGTTGTTTTTATTGTTTGAATTCACTTTGGTTCGATTTTTGTGGATGTTAAAAAAAAATTTAGCGTTACACTTTCAAATACTATTACAAAGTCATGTATAACCGCAATGACTTCTTAATTAATTTCTACTCTCCTTTGTCCTTGTATTAATGAGTTTAATTCGGTGTATCACAAGTGCACACGGAGGAGGAAGTTAGGAGGACATAAAGGTGAACCTGAGTAATTTAATTAAAATTTTAAAAATAAAATATAAATATAAATATAATACTAAAATTTGTTTGTTAATGTAACCTAATGATATTTCTCACCTTGAAGTATTTTCTCTCCTTTTAAGACCAAAGGTAGAAGGTGCAGTCTCCCCAAGTACATTGTGAGATTTAATTTTCAAGATAAATAAATAAATCTATTATAGTAAAATAATTAAAATAAAACATGGCTAAATTCAAACAAAATAAATAAAATTATAGTAAAATGCTTCTATTCTCTTAGAAACTAAGTAAATAATAATTTTTAAATCCAAACAAATTGTTACATAAATTCCGTTTGATTTTTAAAATAGATTATTATAGTGGTTCATTACTAAAAATAAAATAAATCAAGTACATTATTATAATAGCACTTTAATGCTATTTTGGTAATTTCGTTTTCATGATCCTTTGATGTCTGTGTCACAATCACATACAATTTGATCACAACTTCAGATCCTATGTCTTTTGGCCATGATTCTAAGAGCTTCAGTTTAGCTCTAAAAGTAATTTATTAATAATTTTACAAACTTAAATCAAAACTTGAAAAAAAAAAAAAAAAAAAATTGAATAAAAATTATGATTTGTGTTATTATAGTCATGGGATTAGAGACCGTGTATGAAGGTGTAAAAAATAAAAGAAAAGTATATGTGAAGTGTTACATCTTTAAATTAAATTGATAATTAATTATAAATGAGATCATAAAAAGAGGCTCTGCATACAAGTAATTTAAAAGCACATAATAATATAATATTCAAATATGCTAGAAAAGTTACTTAACTGTTTTTTAAACTTTAAATCCACAAAGATATGTCAGTATTATTCTCTATTTCATAGTGAATCTTTAACTCTTTTGAATATGTCTAGAATTTTTTTAACTCCTTTAAATTATATTTAATAAAAAAACTATTTAATATTATCTTATTAATAATACAATTATATTCATTCTATGGTCATTAGACATATCATTAATAAAAAATATTATTTAAATTTTCGTAATGGTAGTTAAATTTTGGTAACATTGCTTTTTCTGTGGAACCTCTGAAATCTTAGTAATTCTGTTGATAAAGTTAACTCCACCATCTCCTCAACGGGTTCTTTTCATCTCAATAGTACAATGTGTTGTGGTTCCAATACCACATCCCTGGACATTTGTGGCATGGACTGCAATTCACCCCAAGCTCAAAATTTTCTAGTCAACTCTGTTCTCCAAACCCATGATCATCTTTTCTTTAATTGTTCTTTTTCCAACCAAATAAGTATGACAATTCTTTCAACACAAATGTGGCATTTACTCCTATGAACAGGGTGTGGTGACCATTGCTAATCTGTGGAGTCCTAATTCCAAATCTAGTAAAGCTATGGTTTACAAGTTGTGCTTTGCGGGATAATCTACTACTCGTGGAGAGAGAGAACAATCGAACCTTCACAAAGGAGCCTCTAACAAATATGAAAATTTGCAAGGAAATTGATGAGTGCATTCGTACCAAGCTTTCTACTGTCCATATCTCGGATTGTGTTGTCTCGAGGTCTGTGGCTGATGATTGGAGCCTTCCGAGCTCTGTGATCAGAACCAGACCCTAGTAGCATAGTTGTTCCATGTTCTACTTTCTCACCTGTTCTGTTCCAGTTGCTGTTCTGTTCTATTTGAATTGGGTGGGTTTGTTTTGGGTCCCAGTTTTGTGTACAGTATATTTTTCATTTATGAATTTAATTACCCAAAAAAAAAAAAAAATATATATATATATATATATTGGGAGGAGAAGACTTGTTGAAAAGAAGAACATTTATATATAGATATATATATATATAAAGTTTTCGCTATTTTCTCAAACAAGTAACTTACTCAAAAATATTTTTTTGTGCTGATGTAAAAAACGTGAACGAGAGAGAGAAAGAAAGAGGGAAAAAAATATTTAATGATATAAATTTTTGGCCTAATATTAAATTTCTATATTGGTTATAATTTATTATAAAACATGAATAAGAAGAGTAAAAAAAAGGGAGGAAAAAAAGTCATATAAGGATGTAAATCTTTGGGGTTAATATTAAATTTATGTATCAATTAAGGAGGAAAGAGAAAAAAGAAAAGAAGAAGAAGAAGAAATTATTTTATGATATAAATATTTGAGGTCTAATATTGGGACAAATGTGACTAAAGCTATCAATTTTATTTTATTTTATTTTTTTGACTGGGAAGTTTCTGACTAAGGCATATTATTGGAAGTAATTTGCCTTTATTTTTCCTTTCTCTTTTTGAATTAAAAGACCTTTTCTTTTTAATTGAATTGTTTTTATTTTATTAACTATATATATAAGTAATACATATTTGTAAAATTCTAATATATAATTGTGTCACACAAAACAAAGATGTTACGTTACAAGTTTATAGTTGTTATGAACTTATTTTTATTCTATTGAAAAATTTGTAGAAGTATTAGATTTGAGTTTTCTAAATCAGGTTTAATGGTTCTTTTTTTTTAATTATTTTATTAATTTTTGTTATTATAAATTTGTGTGTATATATATTTGTATATTTTATTTTTGAGTTGTGACTAATTTTAATTATATTGTTAAAAAAATCACTTTTTTATTTTTGACCTGAAGCCCCAAATTAGATTGAGCCCCCCCTGCATCAACAGTTACAGGAGCTTGCATCAATTGGAACTGTAAAGATGTAATAGGATTGCTAATGAACTGTTCATGGTTTGGAATAGCTCTATCCTCATCTTGTTTAGTTACTAAGATGATGTTTGAAAATAAGCAGTAATTTTATCACCTGCTTTAAGGCGTTGAATCCTGGATTGTTGCCTGTAAAACACCTCTTCAGCTCTAGAAACAGTTTGATAACGTTGCAAACAGTCCCTCTCCTCCTTCTGCAAGTTAATATTCAAAGGATCAATATCCATCCATTTTCTTCTGCAGAACATCAAGATCTTATTGAGCTTCCTTCACCTGCTGATATAGCTGAGACCTTTAGGGGTCCAATACTCCAATGGAACATCTTGTCACTTGATTATGTTTAGGGTTTATTTATTTTAATTTTTTTAAGTTGAGATGAAACAACCCTCTGCAATGGCCATGTTGGCGCCTCCATGCCAATGCAAGAGATGGATTTGGACCTTTTAGTGTAGTATGTGTAGATGCTTCCGTTGAAAGATAAGTTAGTGTGAAATAGATGCTAACCTATGCATCCAAAAGCAAGGAGTCAAGTACTAATCTCAAGTACGTACGTTGAACTTCAGGGCAAGTTCCACCAGCTCAAGATCGCGAGCTCTATGCTTTTGGAGCGTCATTGAGCTCCCACCGGAAGTATTCATCCCGGAGTTCCAGTACTCGTCATGGAGTTCTGCATTTATGGTGTACTGGTTATTGTATTGAATGTTGATTGCATATTTGCATTCGCGTTTGAAAGATTTAGCACAGGGTAGCAACCCAAATCCCCATGATTAACAGTGAAATTTTGGACTTTAAATTGGTATCGACAATCACATTGACGTGACTTTAATTTAAGTCCCCTTGAAGAGGGTGTGGGTTTTTGAAGATGCATTGTAATATAACGGGGATTCAGTCCGCAATGCAGGGTGTTTGGAAAGCCAGAATACAGGAGTGCTCTCTTTTGTGATGATAATAAACAGATAAAGAAGCAATAGCAGCATTTTTAGTCATAGCCAAATGACCACTTTATGTGGTAGATTTAGGTGTCTATAAACTTTTCTTATTTATTTATAATTTATTTTATCAATTAATATTGAGTAGTGCTAGTTGTAGTCGCACTGTCCTTGCATTGCGCTCCTAATTGGTTAGGATTTCTAGAATTTCACGCTAGTTAATTAAGTATCTCCTACCATTATAGGACATTTAAAATATAAATTTATAAGATAAAAGTACCTTTTTAATTATTTTTTCTTTCCAAATTTGATCAGTATTATGATTATTTTCTTTCTATCTTTTTTATTTATTTATTTATTTTTTATGGATTCTTTTATTTCTTTTTTTAATTGTCTTTTAGCTATATATGGAGTGTGTGTAATTACTATATATATATATATATATATATATATATATATATATATATATATCATCTAATATTTGCTAATCAATATCTCTCTATTATGAATCCATATATCGCATAGGGTAAAGTGCAAATTAAAAACCCTGAATTATTGCTTTTTTGCAACTAACTCCCTGAACTAAAGATTACCCCCCTCAACTATTGATTTGTTATAATTAAGGACAAACCCATTACAAAAGACTATTTTACCCTTTGTTATTAAATTTGTCATTTCTTATTAAATTGTTTATTATTATATTTTCTCTTATTTAAATATTAATTATACCATTTACCTTAATTTTATAATTAGTAACAATTGATTATAAAAATGGAAAAAAATAAATAAATTTGTAGCTATCATTTTCTAAAATAATTAACTTATTATAATAAAAACTTATTATACTCACTTTAAAAAAAATTAGTATAAAAAAATATCTTCTTTTTCAAACAATACTCATGAAAAATTAATAAATTATATAAATAAAAATATCTTCTTTTTAATGCAATATATTCATGAAAATTAAGAAATTACTTAAATTGTTTCAAATTTTTCTA